ATCACTGCACTTCAGCCTGGCTGACAGAGTGAGACTCTGTCAAAAAAAAACAGAGTTTTTTTCAGTTTAAAACACCCTTTTCCACCAGGCACAGTGCCTCATGCCTGTAATCCCAGCACTTTGGGAGGCTGAGGTGGGAGGATCCCTTGAGTCCAGGAGTTGGAGAACAACCTGGGCACAAAAATAACAAAAAAAAGAAAAAAAGAAAAGAGAACAACCTGGGAAACATAGAGAGACCCCTGTCTCTACAAAAAATTAGCCAGGGGTAGTGATGCACGCCTGTGGTCCCAGCTACTCAGGAGGCTGAGGTGGGAAGGATTGCTAGAGCCTGGGAAGTTGAGGCTGCAGTGAGCCATGTTCTAGTCACTGAACTTAGCCTGGGCAACAGAATGAGACCCTGTCTCAAAAATAAATGAATAAATAAAACACCCTTTTCATTCACAGTTATGTAAACAGGCTTGAAGTGGTGAAATAGCCTGATTTACATTGTGTGGCAAATTCACAAAGAAACCCGTGAGAGGAGAATCCAGGAGTGCTAAGTCTCAGTCTAGGTTTTGGTTCTCACTAAATCAAGATTCTTCCCTACACCAGTAAGGGCCCTAACCCTACTACAAATTTAATGCAATTCACAGAATTTTAGTGAACCAATTTCTCATCAGGGAGACCTGCCTAAAGTTGTACTGAAGAATGGTGGCTGGTGGCTTCAGAGTGGGCGGAAGTGGTCGAGGAGGCAGGCTGGGCAGGATCTTCTCTGACAAGCCTGTACCTGATGACACCTGGTCCTAGCAACTAGGATAAAGGATAAAGAAATGGAATTTGGGTGGCGTGAAACAAAAGTCATCGCTCTCAGACTGCCCCTTGCTGGAGAAGGAAGCTCCTTCCCTGACAATTCCCCCTCTGCAAGTCCCTCCGTAGTCAGACATCCTCCGGGAGAGCTGTTTCAGAACAACCTTCTTACAAGGCCCTTTGGTTGTCTGTTAAATTACAACAGGTTGCAGGCTCAAAAACCAGTGCCCACAGTGAAGTGGAGGCAGGTATAAAAATAAACTGAAGGCTTGCTTTAAAGCCATTTAGGAATGAACAGAATTTACAAATACAGAAACACATGGGAAGATGTTTGTGTCAAATTCCCACACCAACAGCTTTCCTTTAGTGGAAGTTCTTGGTAGCTGAGTGGGTGCAAGTGTGGAGAAAGAAGGAGGAAGAAATTAGAGGGGGTTAATGTGGTGTCTTGGTGTTGTTTCATTCTGTTTCAATTCAGAGAGAAAGAGTTGTTACATCTCTAAAAAGAATTAAATTAAGATGGCCACTATGTAAAAGTGTTTGCAGACATGGGCTTGAATGTAATATGAAAAAATTGCTGGGCTTGGTGGGGTGCACTCCAGAGGCTGAGGCAGGAAGATAACTTGAGCCCAGGAGTTCAAGAGCAGCCTGGGTAACATAGTGTGACACCACCCCAAAAACAAAAAACAAAGTAATATGCAAAAATAAAAATAACTGTGTTGGGGAGGTAAGATTATGGATGAATTCCTCCCAATCCCTTAATACTGTTCAACTAACAGTATTTTCTTTTTTTGTAGAGCTGAGTTCTCACTATGTTGCCCAGGCTGGTCTCAAACTCTTGGGCTCATGTGCTACTCCTGTCTCAGCCTCCCAAAGTGCTGGGATTACAGGTGTGAGCCACCTCACGTAGCCAGTATTTTTATATAAATGTTTTCGAATTTTGCTTCCTGGCTGTGTAGTTAAACTTGGTCTTATAAAATCACCATTTTATTGCAATTCCCCAAAACTCTTGTTTGTTGTCCATCACAGCAGTTTTTAGGACAGCAAAACACATGAAACCATCTAAACGTTTTAGAGGACAGATTATTTAAATGGACTGTGGTCCAGTCATAGCAATGAAAACTACACAGCTATTTAAAAAAGAAGACACAGATCTGAATGGTGGATACGAAATAATCACCCAGAGAAAGTGAAGAAAGGCATGTGGGGGCCGATGGGTCTAGTTTGAGACCATACAAACATGCAAACATGCGCCGATTTGTGACATTTTCTGGTATTCCCAAGAACGTTAGTAATAGTTACTTCAATCTGGTGAAGGCAAGTGAGGGTCTGAGGTGAATGGCAGATTTGCTTTTCACGATATGAACTCCTATACTGCTTTGAAAACAGTATGTTTACATATTACAAATTCTAAATGATATATTGGTATCACTTTGATAACTGTTAACTTTCTAGGCAATGCTCTAAGGGTTTTCTTCCTAAGTGGTTTGAAGGTAAAGGGAAAGTCCTATTCTTTCCAAAAGTCCTATTCTTGCCCCATACTTAGAAAACAGACAATCTGATTATGCCTACAGTTGTCAAAATGTGGAGGCAATGTGCGAAAAAACTAAATATGCTCATGTTTCAGAGGGAGATCTACCGAGATATATTGAGATACACAGACTAAGTGCAGCTGAAGAACTGGGTCAGCCTCCCACAGGCCCTCCCAAATAAGCAGCAAGGGATGAGCTGTTCACTCTTCCTCCTTGGAGGGCCCAGGGGTGCTTTGCACCTCAAAAGATACACATCACTCCAGATCCACAGAGCCACCCCAAAGCCTGGGTATCATGTTATCTCCAAAGATTCTGTACAGGGTTTGCCCCAAGCCATTCCCAGGTCTCTCTGAGCCCAGTTGAGTATTCTAGAGCTTTCTGGAACCAAAACAGTGTGCTTGGCTAGAGAGGGTTGACTTGAACAAGCAGGTCACTTAAACACATTCTAGCCTCAATGTATGGGGCCCTCTGCCAGATGACAGAGGAACCCAGGAATGCACTTGGACGTTCTGACCACTTTTTCACAGGACACGTCACCTTTGCTTTCAAAACTTCTCTTTGCTTTCACACATTTCAAGTTCCAGTGACAGGATGTTTCACTCTAAGTTCATGAGAAAGGATGGCAAAATCTTTCCGCCATTCCCTCCTAGGCATCTCAGCCTGAAGGATGTTCAGAGTTACTTAGACCAAGGAGTCCAAGACGGTGGGCAAGGCATTGCCTCTCATGGAAGACTTCACGCCCAGGATGAGGAGGCATAGCATTTAGTCTAGGCCCCCCGAAGGGGAAAAATACTGGCTCTGAGATACTCTGGAGCTGAATAATGGCAGATTTAGACAATAAAGAATAGGAGAGGGAGGCCGAGCACGGTGCCTCACGCCTGTAATCCCAGCACTTTGGGAGGCAGAGGTGGGCAGATCATGAGGTCAGGAGTTCGAGACCAGCCTGGCCAAGATGGTGAAACCCCGTCTCTACTAAAAATACAGCAAAAAATTAGCCGGGTGTGGTAGCAGGTGCCTGTAGTCCCAGCTGCTCAGGAGGCTGAGGCAGAAGAATCTCCAGAACCCAGGAGGCAGAGGTTGCAGTGAGCCGAGATCACACCACTGCACTCCAGCCTGGACGACAGAGTGAGACTCCGTCTAAAAAAAAAAAAAAAAATATGCTGGGCACGATGGCTCACATCTGTAATCCCAGCACTTTGGGAGGCTGAGGTGGTTGGATCACAAGGACAAGAGATCACGACCATCCCGGCCAACATGGTGAAACCCCGTCTCTACTTTAAAAAACACAAAAAATTAGCTGGGCATAGGGGCACGTGCCTGTAGTCCAAGCTGCTCGGGAAGCTGAGGCAGGGGAACTGTTTGAGGATGCAGTGAGCCAGGACTGTGCCACTGCACTCCAGGCTGGCAACAGGGACTCCATCTCAAAAACACAATTAAAAAATAAAATAAAATAAAAGAATAGAAGAGGGAATGGGCCTCAATGGGAAGATGGCAGGAGGGACCACAGAGTGCTGGTCTTCAGTGAAGATGCCACACAGCAGACACACAAGGGTCGGGTCACAGGGCACAGTGTGGGATGGCCTGACATAGCCAGCCCATTCCTTCCCCAAACAACCTGCCCCAAGGAACTTAAAAGGGAAGTATTCCTTGATTAGGTTAAAAATCACTTGTGTTTAACACATTTCCTCATCATTTCTGACACAGATGAAGAATACCTGTTTGGGATGTTCCGTGTCACTGACACACATACTAAGCCAGCCAGCTCTGGTCTATTTAGGGTTTTTACTCATCAGCTAGGCTATGTGTGCGTGTGTGTGCATGCCTTTGCCCCTTACTCTCCCTGATTTCTGCTCCATTTCATAGCCTACTAGAACCTCCCCAGTGGCACAGGACAAGAAAAAAAAGTCCACTTATAATCCATTCTGGTACATGCTGCTTTTACTTCTAAACCAGTGGCTAAAATGGTATCTGTCAATTTGATTAGCTATGCTTAGCCCCATGACCACAAATAAACCCAAACTGGCTAGACTTCTAAGAAGTAAATTTCTTCTCTGCCTTCTCTCTGCTTGTTAAGTGATCTCAATAGCTTGTAACCAGAAGGCCTCTTTACTGAATGATCTAGAGGGTGACACATATGAACTCAAGTTGGGGAGAAGTCCCAGCCTCCTGCCTACCATATCTAACTCTGTCCCCACAACAGATGCACTGAACTTTCCTTAAATACAAATAGTTCTATTGCCACTGTGGCGCTTTCTCACAGGGTGTTTTATTTTACTTATTTTTTAACATTTCATTATCTCATTAATCTTTTCTCCAGATTTTCCACAATGCACTCAAAGTCTGAAACTCCAAATTGGACTGCAGAGTCTGGCACAGGCTCTTATAAAGCCCAGTGTAGGATCCCCTCGCTCCCAGTTTCCACAGGGTCTCCTTTCCTCGGTAGATCCCAGCACTCCAGCTGCTGGCCACGCACAGGCTATACCTGCCAACCAGCGGCCAGCTGCTGACTCATGCTTGCTCTGGGATTTGCTTGGACCCCAGCCCTTCTGCTCTCCAGCCACAACAGCCACCACCCACCTCAAAGAACACTCTATCCATCACCTCCTGGGGTCTCAGCTCTGACCTGATCAGTCCCCCACAGGTCTGCCTTGCTTTACCTGGCCCTGCCCCATCCCTCATGCCCACCTGGAAGACGTCGTTGGCACACTTGCGGCACAGGTTGTGTTGGCAGGGCAGGATCACCACCGGTTTGGAGAACATCTCCAGGCAGATGGGGCAGATGAGCTGCTTCTCCAGGTTATCCATGCTGTGTGCATCCCCTAGCAGCGGCTTGAAACCCACTGTGAAGTTCATCCCCTCGGTGGTCGCACCTGCCCCGGCCTGGGCCCTGTTCCTGGCCTTCACTCACTGTCTGTAGACCCTTCCTCGCTTAGACAGCCTGTGGATTCCCTTCTGTGGCTCACTCTTGAAATAGCACTCCTATCTCTCCTGTCCCTTTCTTTAACAACTTGTCTTGTCCCAGAGAGCAGTCTTCGGACACTTTTCTTTCTCTACTCTCCGCTCTGCACCCTCGCCAGGCTCACGTAGTTTTATCTATCCCTTTCTCTGTAAAATTCTCCTGTTTCCTAAATGACCCTCTCTTGTTCACTCTGTGGGTAGCACTGTTTGTCCCTTACTCCCCAGAGAGGAGATTAATTTTACTGTGGGGGTGGGGAGACAAGGGGCATCTGCATGACATTCCAATTCCCAATATAGCTCTTGTAAGGCGAGCCACAGCTGTCACAGAGTGAATGACCCTGACTCACTCAGGAATGGGTGACTCCCTTGAGCAAGAGCAGGGGCGAGCACCACTGCTTACGGTGAAAGGTGGGTCGGCAAAGGGGTTGCCCTCTCACTCTGAAGGCTCCTCTGAGCCCGGGACCCCTGCTCTGGCTTGGGCCTTCCTTCCAGGACACAGAATCTAAATCGGCCTGTGTGAGAGGCACCCATACATAGCTCAGGGTGGGAGGAAAGATCCTGCCAGACTTAGAGTCAGTAACAGTTTCCTCCTCCACAGGCTCAGCCAGTGACCCAGGTCCTCCTCCTCAAGACTGTGTGATTCAGAACAGCAGCTCCAGGGACGACATCAAGTCTCTTGTCCAACACCTCGGGCTCATTTTTGTTCTTGCCCAGGCTTTTCTTATATCACCCTAGGAAAAGAAGCTCAAGAGGCTAGAAATGACTGTTGTGCCACAGCCTGGACCTACCTATGAGCATGCCCCCGAGGAAATGTGGGATTCTGGTCCACGAACACATCCCTGGAGCCACTCCAAGGACTTCAAATTTGTTAGGAAACTGGGAGAAGGTGAGCTGGGCAGAGAGGACCTGAATGCCAGGGACCTATTTTGGGCACCCAGGGAATCAATCTCCAGGGAAATTTTAGAGCACTGACAAAGTCATAATCACAAGTCTCGGGGAGCCTCTGCCCCAGCCCCACAGTTGTTCGGGACTCCGACCCTCCAAGCCAGGCTTGCCCCAGTTCTGAGCACTGACTTTTTCTCCTACATGTCTTTTTCTCCACTTGATCTTAGCCAAAGGGCCAAGAAGCAATTTCTTTAGGCCCTTTTTCTTCACCCCAGACACAAACAGTTTGTCTTTTTTGGGCCCAACATATGCCTTGGGATTGGACAAAAGCTCTTTTATTTACTGACATTCTTTAGCCCTTCTCCCAGTCCAGGGAGAGAAGTTTCAGGAGTTAGTAGGTGGGAAATACATGGTGTGAAGAGGACATGAAATAGCAGCACAAAGAGGCAAGAGTGGGAAAAGAGTCCATAAAGTACAGACTTTTCTGGATCACAGATTCCATGCCCCTATTTTTAAGAACAAATTATATGTCAATCAGCCTGCATAAGATGTAAAACGGATGGAGGCAAGCAGGCACTGATGTTTAAACTTCAGTCAACCCACAGGACCAATGCTAATGCATGCTGTGCTGGCAGTTGAAGTCCAAGGAGAATCTAAAGATGGAATGACTATCCCTGAGCCTCAAATGCACTTGCTGTTTTCCTGAGTTGACTCACAGTGGCATGGAATGAGGCTGGCGATGCCAATGGCCGTGGGCACCAGAAGGTGAGACCAGCTCCATAAAGGCATATTGGCTCAGGAATGAGGATGATGCTAGGGGTTCTTGGTGCACTGAGTTGCAACAAGGGAGAGTTAACTGGTGCAGCAGCTCCCGGAACAGGATCCACCCTGCTCAGTTACCAGGCTCTTAGTGGAGCTATCCCAAGAGGCTTGGGGACCCTACCAGCTGGCAGTGGCTCCAACAACAAGACAGGCACAGGAAAAAGACTCTTCAGGAAAAATCTGCCACCACCGCCTGGGACCTCATAAGGGAAGGGAGGGGAGGGCTGCTTTCTGATGAATAAAATTGGGACTGCAACTAAAAAGAAGAAGTTGGGTAACTCCATACAGAGTTGTGGTGCCAAGGGCAGAGGTGATGTCCTTACTGGGACCAACGTCATCAATACTTCGAAGTTGAGATTCTTAAAAGAAGAGGGGTCAAATCAGGGTCAATGTCAGGGCAAGGCAACTTGCTCCTCTCTTCAATGTGTCTAGGGGACTGCGCAGCAGAAGGCACTCTCACTGGATCAGCACCTAGTGGTGGAAGAAGGTGGTGCTTTATTAATCAGGAGAAATAATTACCTAGAATTTAAGGCAAATCCCCACGTGTAAGGATATAAACACTCATAGTCCAAACTATAAGGATGTAAACTTTCTACTAATGACTCACCTGAAGTTAGCTTACAAGCTTTTCTTTTTCTTTTTTTTTTTTTTGAGACAGAGTCTTGCTCTGTTATCAGACTGGAATGCAGTGGCATGATCTCCACTCACTGCAACTTCCAACTCCCTTGTTCAAGCAATCCTGCCTCAGCCTCCCGAGTAGCTGGGATTACAGGCACACACTACCACGCCCAGATAATTTTTGTATTTTCAGTAGAGACGGGTTTCACCATGTTGGCCAGGATGGTCTCGATTTCCTGACCTTGTGATCTGACCGCCTTGGCCTCCCAAAGTGCTGGGATTATAGGCGTGAGCCACTGCACCCAGCCTATATGCTTTTCTTATCTGGTAACTATTGCTGCTTTTCAGTTTACGTACCTCATCCTTTTTCATCTCTTAAAAATCATCTTCGCTATTTTCCTCTCTTTTAAAATCAGGTTTGGCTCCTATGATGGAATTATACATATATTTACATACATAAACATTTAGTAACTTTTTGTAGTCTACTGATGAGAAAACCATTACCTTGCAGTTACTCATTAGCATCACCAGATGGCACTAGTGTGAAGTTCAATCAGCTTATAACAGTTTATTTGGGGTGGGAATGCTCCTTTCTGTTTTCTTTTTTTTTTTTGATATAGGGTCTTGCTCTGTCACCCAGGCTGGAGTACAGTGGCATGATCGCAGCTCACTGTAACCTCCACCTCCCAGACTCAAGTGATCCCCCCACCTTAGCCTCCCCAGTAACTGAGACTACAGGTGCACACCACCATGCCTGGCTAACTTCTGTATGTTTTTTGTAGAGACTGGGTTTCACCATGTTACCGAGGCTGGTCTCAAACTCCTGAGCTCAAGTGATCCGCCCACCTTGGCTTCCCAAAGTACTGGGATTACAGTCACAAGCCACCGCAACTTGCCCTTTCCTTTGAGTAGATGGAAAAAATTGCATCCTGCTGGGCACAGTGGCTCACACCTGTAATCCCAGCACTTTGGGAGGCCAAAGTAGGTGGATCATCTGAGTAGACTGCTTGAACCTGGGAGGTGGAGGTTGCAATGAGCTGAGGTCACACCTCTGCACTCCAGCCTGGACAACAGACTGAGATTCCGTCTCAACAGCAACAAATTGCATGCTGAAATATGTTTCACCTGCTGTACTTTCTAGACATATTCTCCCACCCCATTCCTTAGCTTAACAGGAGATGATAACACTACATTCATACTGTCAGTTTGTTGTGTAAGGTGCACAAACACATATTGATCTTTTTTTTCCACTTTGTCCCAGTGCCAGACTTGAAATTGTCATATTTAGGGGTTAACCTGCCATTTTCGTAGGTCTTTCTTACTCCCAACCATTTCTTTCTTTTTTTTTTTTTCTTTTGAGACAGAGTCTCACTCTGTTTCCCAGGCTGGGATGCAATGGCACGATCTTGGCTCACTGCAATCTCTGTCTTCTGAGTTCAGGCGATTCTCCTGCCTCAGCCTCCCAAGTAACTGGGACTACAGGTGTAAGCCACCACACCTGGCTAATTTTTGTATTTTTAGTAGAGA